TTAAAAAATTATAAGGATAAAAAATATTTTAAAAACATAATTTTTTAATAAAAACGTTGTTTTTTTTAGCAACATGAAACTTTGTAAAAAATTATTTTCAAAAACATTGATACTTTTTGAAATAATGAGTGTTTCATGATGACAAAAACACCTTGTATATGTGCCTATACTTATACTGGCTTAATGTGTTCTTTGCAGTGTTTCTTTCAGGTACTTAAATTTGAAGAATAGTAAAAAAAAAATCTAACTTTATGTGAAATGTTGTGTATGACGTATCTATTTAATTTAATGTTCACAATCATAACAGACTAGGTACCTATTATAGTATAATAATGTGATATTGTGTAAATAAAATAATACGTATTATAATTGCTCCTCCGATTTTTTCAAATGCTCCTCCGAGGTAAATTGTCTGAAAGAAACACTGCTGGTTCTTTGTCATGTGAAACTTGTTATACAGACATACAATATATTATTTAATCACAGCTAGGAAAACTTTTGTCGTATGTCTGCGATGTATAGACAATAACCATGTTGAGTACGTTCAAATTCAAAAAATGAAGAAGTTGTTAAAAAACCTTCAGATCATAATCCTGTACCAGCTGTGTCGTCACCAGAACTTTTAATGCCCGTGGCAAAATAATCCAATCGGGCCCTTAGTTTTATAAATTTGGAGGAAGGTGATATAAGGAATAGCCTACAAAAAATAACCACCTACAAAATTCTACCCTTTAAGGTTACAAATAATAAAAAACATGTTTAGTGTATTAATATTTGTATGGTAAAATTGTATTAAACATTTTTCGATTTAAAAAATATATACAATAAGGCAATACAAAATTTAAATATTCAAAATTTCTTCTTTTTTGCTTTTGCTTCGGCAAACAAATCGATTAAATCTTCAAAGTCTTCTCGAGCTGTTTCTTGTTCGATTGAAATTAACGCCAGGCGCCCAGTCCACTTAAGCGATCTTGCATCATTGTACTTCTTAAATATCCTTAAATAATTTTTAGTTTGGAAATTGACCGTTCCGAGCTTGCAGATGTAACAGGAATTGTCAAAAATAATAAAAGAGCAGTACATACTTCTGGGAAACTAACTGTTAAAGAATGATTTTTTCACGTATAATTTTCCATTACAACTATGATAAATAGTGTTAATTTTTTGATTTTTTTTTTATACACATACAAATGTATTAATTCAATATTCGGCTTTAATTATATTATATCCTTACAATTTTTCTCTCTATATATTTTCGCTAATATTTTTATTCACTCATTTTTTCCTCTTTTTTTCATTTGCTAGATAATTCACTATACGCATTCGATCTTTTGTCATAGAACCGATGATTTTGCTATAGGTTAAGTTTTTAATGTATTAATACCTATATACTAACATCTAATAGTTTCTTTTCACCACGGGTTAAAAAATTTAAAATAACCATATTGAAAACTTTTTTTTAAATTCGAAAAAAGTAAATTTGTAAAGTAATTTATTTATAAATTCATAATAAAGGAAGACAAACAAATTTGAATTCGATTGAATTTTGAATTAATGGAAGAAACCTATTCGACTTAAGCAACTTATATTTTCCATAATACATTTTTAAATTTTTTAATACACCATATAATATTGCAGTAAAATTGTACCTATGGTTTTCAGTTATTCATACTTTTTCTTTTTAACCATATGCGTGATCCAGGGTAAATTCTTGGGGGACAGCGCAGTCTGTGCAGGTAAAACTAAAAATATATTATGTATATTTTTAAAAAGAGGGGATTTATCTCCAACCAATAAGTAAGGCAAGTGGCAACAAATAATATAGTTATCAGTCTTTAAAAATAAATGATATTCAAATATAATTAAAACGAAAAGTGTAAAAATACAAAGATAAAAAACTTACAGATGTGTACTAACAAAAACAGTACACATAAAACAGTAATGGATTTGATTTTAACTTATAACAGAGGAAAAGGGGGAACAAAAATACACTATTCCCTCCTTGCCATCACTAGATTACGCTTATATGTTCACATACAAATTACAACTATTAACTACTAATCTAATTGGCTTTAATAAAGATAAAACTACTCGTCAAAATTATATTTATTGTACATTTTTTTACTTGCATTACAATATTGTTTATTAAGTAGGTAGGTACAATAAGCATCAACCATCAACTACACGCACAAGTCAGTTTTATAAGCCCGTGATCTTTAAAATGAAATTATAAGGTGACACTGGGAATATATCGCATATTTTAGAATTAAAATCAATGTTAAAGCTCTAATTTTGATAATTAAATAGGAATAAGGAATAAACTTGTAGTGCTATCTTTTGTATTAAATTTACTCATCTAATGAGACCGCAATTATTCACCATAGGTAGATTGTCTACCAGATTATATAGATAGTGATCCTCTGTCACAAGCGAGGCCACGAACTAAGATATCTTAGTTCGTGAGCGAGGCTCATGGGACAATGCTGGCGCCGCCTGGCACAGATATGGATAAATTATGCTATACTAAATTATATTTTGTGACGCCGTGGCCGGGCGGAAGGCCTTTTTGAGGGGACAACTATAGTATAAGTATTTTCATAAAAGGAAATAGGGAGAGCCCCTCTAATCCTATACCAGGCTACCAAAGGCGCAAATAGCGTTTGAGATTTCGGGGGGAGTGGCTGAAGCCCAATAGATACTAAATGAAGCATTTATGCAAGTAATTAACACCTACATTTTTTTTACCTACATAACCTAACGAACACGAATTTTGCATCATAAATTGTAAATAATACTGATAGCTTAAAAAATGTAGGAAATTTTTAGGGACTTATCCCATAAAGCTCCCACTTATTTGAACCTATGCAGGCTCCCCCCCCCACACCACAAAATAAATAAATAAATAAATAAGAAAAAATATAGGAATTTTATAATTTTATTTTCATACATAGGTATTATAGGTACTTATTCTAAAAAAACGACGAATTATTTATTTTAGTAACCCATTTTTATATTTATGTGTTTAGAGAACTCATGGTAATAATGCAATGCCTGTGTTAAATTTGAATTTAATCGTATAAAATCATTGTATATGAATAYCACAATTCTGAATCACACCAAACACCAATATCGATTTTGGCATTTTGCGTACACATTGCCGTTTTTCTTTATCTATTTTTTGTTTTTCCCGGCGTTTTAGAAAATTTAAAAGTTGACCTCACGAACTCACCACTCACCTATCTACTAGATTTCTTTAACCAACGGAAAAGATATTGAATTTGAAAATCGGAGCATTTTTGTGATAACTTATCGTCCGTCTTATCGTGTACAAAGACTCCCAAAAATAAAACACGTTCGCTAAGCATTTGAGAAATAATTGGACAGTAATTTTGTTTTAAAATCCTATTTAATTAAGAACAATTATTATTAGATTGTTAAATTAAAAATTATTTATGAACTACGAGGGGGTGTGGGGTCAAAGCTCCCACGAATTTGACTCATGGCAAAAGTTTTCATTCTTGCTCTGTGAATTCACTCAATTGATAAGAATTTTATTAGTGTGACGTTATCATAGACATATTAATATATTATTAATTAATATGTCTATTAATACGTTATTTACCATTCGTATTATTGAGGAAAATAGTACAACACTATCGTTAATACCAATATATAGAATATTTATATATATATATATATATACAATATTAAATTCTTAATAATATTATAGACCACAGATCGTGATATTATCCATGACAATACCAAAATTATTTGTTATCGGCAACCACCAAAGTAGCAAATCTTTTTTACATAATATTCTTATCAATATTTCACAGAACAAACTCAATTCAGTTTACAATTCCATAGAGTGAACTGTGAAGTTATGAGACAATACTTTGACCTCTAATATTTCCAATATTCATTTTTTTTTCATTTGAATATTATTAGTTTCATTAATCACTCATCAGTCTAACCTTCAAAATATTAAACTTTTTCAATCCATAAAACCTATTCCTACATAATATATTATTTTTAAATTACAAAGTATAAATTAATATGGGTTCCATGGGTAAGAAATTGTTTGAACAACTCAAGAGTAAAGAATTCCGTACTTATTTAATGAGGTGAACATTTATTATTTGTTTTTGATTCATTATGAACCCAATTGAAATAGTAAGTACCTATGCATTTTTTTTTTTTTTTTTATTATTATTTTAGTACTCATTTTTGGGGTCCAATAGCAAATTGGGGTATACCAATAGCAGCACTATCGGATGTTAGAAAAGATCCTGAACTAATTAGTGGTAAAATGACTGGAGGTAATACATTTATTTTTAATTCAATTTTTTATTTAGTCTTATTAATTTTATTTATGATGTTTTCTACATTCTAGCATTATGCTTATATTCAATTGCATTCATGAGATTTGCGTGGAAAGTCCAACCACGTAATATGCTTTTGTTCGCTTGTCATGCAACAAATGAAGTAGCTCAAGTGATCCAACTTTCAAGATTCATTAATTATAATTATTTATCTAATAAAAAGGATAAAAAAAATGAAATAGCTTAAGTATTCCATTTTTAAAATTATTTAGGTATACGACATGTATAATTTATTATTTGAATCAAAATTTCATTGTGATAGGCTTCTGTAAAATGCATTTATAGAAATGCATATTAAATGTAACATACTGACATCCACTTGTTACTTAATACTATTGTATACAAATATTGACAATACAACTTAAATAATGTATTCATATATTTTGCTCATTTTTGTGTTTCTTTAATTGTAAGAAAATGAGATATACTTGGCTGTTTATTACGATTACAAATTGAACGTGTATACTTTACTTTTTTGTGTTATTAAGTTTTTCTGTCTTATTATACCGTTATTTATTTTTAATAAATTATATTGGTAGCCTTTAACTGCAAATTTTTTTAATTGTCTGTTTGCAATATTATCTATATTGTGTCTGAATAATTATTTAATAATAATAATTTATTATTCTTTCACATACATCTCATATTTAACAAGAAGTTTTCCACAAGCGTTTTAAACTGTTTTGACTTCAAATATCTTGTGGATATTATCATAACGATACCTCTGATGTTATAGTCAGTTAATTATGTGATGATTAATAATTATAAAAAATAATTTAAAATCATCATTTCAATAGGAGTAAAATACTAAGATAAAAAACTATTAGTATTATTTAAAATTTATTAACCTTTATTGTTCAAAAGATATATTTTTTTTTACTAATTAATTATATAAACATCAAGGGACAATTATTTATACTAATAGAATAAATTATATAATATTAGTTTATATAGTCCATCTAAGTATTGTCAACTTAAGTKTGTTGATTAACATGATTATAAACAAAATACAAATTATAAAAATGATTATTACAATATTGTATCATAAAAAAAAGAAAAAAAAAATACTGATGCGTTTCTTACATTAGAAGTAAGAATATATGAGAATTAAAAACTTAATTATCAACATAAACGTAAATAAAATTAATATTTGATCACATTTAATGGACGGATTCAGTTTAAACTTAAGACATACATCATGCATGCACTGCATTTGTCAGTTTTAACTTATGTAACAAGATACAAAAACTAAAAATAAAATAAATGATAAATTTAAAGAAAGAGTATAAAAAATACATTTATGTAATCTATTAAAAATATTAGGTATCCATAAAAACTTAATTTTATTGAGAATATGTATGTCAAATCAAATGTTGAGTTTCATAGTAGAGATTCAGTCAAAATTAATTGAAATTAAAAATAAAATATTTGTAAGGTTATTGATCTATAACTTTTGGTAATTTTCAAACATCAATTTAACTTATAATATAATTAAATAATACATTTTTGATAGAACACATCAGTCTAATTTAAATTCTAGCTATTAAGCCCACATTAATAAACTACACAAGACTAATGTCATGACATAAAAAACATTACTAAGAGGAAGTGCAGCTCCAGCTATACGACATTTGAAAGTATCATACCTATGAAAAATCATAAAAAGTTAACAATATTCTAAAATCTATTTTAATCTACCAATTACACAATTATAAATACCTAGTTTTATTGTTATGTAACATGTGCATAAATTCATCTTCCATCATTTGGCCATCAAAATAAGTAAAATCTTCTTCCTCAAATGGAAATTCATAACCTTGTATACATTCGCATTTGTAACCACCGGTGTCATAAMCACGCCCTTGTATTGGTACACACTAAAACATTAAATAGTATAAAAATAAAAATAACTTTAGAATAATGTGTTGAATAAAGTATCCATATTATTAAGAATGATGTTTATTTTCCTAGTATTTAGTTCAAAATTGTCAATTGTTTATAATAAAAGTTTTGAACCTTAAATAAATAAATAACATTTTCAGACATTCTCCAATTTAATTTAAAAATATGTTTTCAGAATCATGAGTATTTATAATATTATGTGTAAAAAAAAAATTTTGAAATTCATATTTTATCATTATAAGACAAAATAGTGTAATCAATTAATGACAATTGGTCATGCTCATAATTCATAATTTTGTATAAAGTCAAGTTATTAACATTTAAGCAAAAAATTTAGAATTAAAACAAATCAACTAAAAAAACAACATTGTGTTTTTGTATGAATACTTTATACAGTTATTCTGTATTTATTGGACTATAAATAATAAAAATTAATATATGGTCTTACATATGAACTACGTTGATCGCATTTATGTGTTCCTTTAAATGCATTGGGTTCATAAAATTTGTGGGGACATTGATTTATGTCCAAATTTAAAAGTGGCATGGTGACTGTAATTGCTCCTCTGAAAGTAAAATGTGTATTTTATTTAAAGTGATTTCAGCATTTTAAATTGTATTTAAAAGTGTGCTATATTGAATAAGAATACCTTAGATTCTGTTAAATATAAACAATAAGTTACATCATAAAATTAGATGTAGTTCAATTAACACAGAGCATGAGAAAGGAGACCATATCCGGCCATTAAATAAAAGAACTAAAGAATTAAGCAATGGGCCTCAATTACTATAAGGCACTAAACATATTAATATTAAATTTAAATAAAACTTACTTAAATTCCAATTTAACCTTGAGACTATCCCAGCCAAAAAATGGAACAGCATAACGAATGAACCAATCTTTTGCAGGACCATTACAATCATAATAAGGAGCTGACCAATAACCATGATCCAAATTTGCAGCTCTAAAATATTATTTCAATTACATATTAATAAAAAAGTATTTTTATTAGTTAGGTATTATTTATTAGCTATATTTTATTACCTGTAAAAGGTTGGATAATATTCAAATTTGTTCAAATGACCTCCTTCTTCAGTGTATCGTAATTTTAATTTTACATAAAACTTTTCTAAACTATCAAAATTAGTAGACCATCGTTGTTTTGTAAAAGTAAACCATTCTTTATTTGTATATACTTCATCTAAACATTTAAATAATTATTAAACTGATATCAAGTAATTATAATATGAAAGAAATAATAATATTAATATACCAGACTGGTTTAATCTCGCTAAATCTTCAACAAAGACCTTACGACCATAATTCACAGTTTTATAAGCATATGGAGCAAATAGAGTACGATTAGGAAATTTATTTGTATCCCAGAATATACCAGCTGACCATATTTTAAAATTTGCCATTACAATAGACAATGCTTCTCCAATCATTTCATCTTCTGATAAATGCTTGTCAGCCACTCTTGTACCAGAATAAACCTCTTTTGGATCTGATATCTAGAAAATATTTATAATATAAAATAAATGTACACAAAAAATGTTTCATAAACATAAAAATAGTTACTTGTAAGAAAGCACTAATAAAGTTAGCAAGTCGAACAGCCATTTTAGCTTCATTAGCAAATTGTTGATGGGCTCCAAATCCATAGTCACCTAAAAGTTGTAAGTCTTCCTTACGAAAACTAAAAATTCAAAAACTTTAATTTATTCTACTTCAATGTTATATGAAGTAACTTACTCATTGCAATTATTTGGATTTACGCCTCGTATGGCATTGATAACTTCATGAATGTTAATATGAGAATCTTTTAAAGATCCTAATCCTGGAGTAAAGTTTTTATACTCTGAATTTTTTTCTAAATATTGCTCACGTAGATATGGATCTAACTGACTTGGGAATACAATTTTACTTTGAAGCCCTAAAATGAAAAAAAAAACATATGTAAGCAAATGAATAAATTAAACTAAAACACCCATTAAATAGTAAATACATTAAAATAACATACATCCAATTCGTTTACAGTCAAATACGCCACTGTAATATTGTTCAAGTGTAGCCCGTTCAATAATTTCTCCCAGGAATGGACGACGAACTGTATTTCCTAATCGATAACCAGGTAAACATCGACATTGATAGCCACCTCGTCGAAAACCCCAACCATCCAATGGTTCACACTAAAGTATATACACATATATATATATAAAAATATGTTGTTATAATCAATACTAAATTATATTTATAAAATACTTACTAATGTAGTTTCTTCTTTACACTTTGCAGTATCTGCAAAACGATTAGGACCAGAATTTCCTGCACTTATAGGACATTGATTAATGTCTATCCGCTCAAAATCCATTTCTATTACTGATACAGCGGTATAACTAAATGATTTATATATTAGATATTAATAAAAAAAAACTTGGCTTCATTAAGGTTTTAAAAGAGATCATACGTAGGATATTCAATATGTCGAAATCCAGTATGCCGAGGATATATGTCAGCGATTGGTACAACAGCTGCCACCAACCACTTGTTACTACGTCCACAATCAAAATATGGTCTTGTCCACTTAATTGGACCGGGAATATCATCAGCTCCTGATACACAAATTTTTTTTATAATAACATAAAAATAATTCACATTTTTAGAAAATTAGATTGTAATAAAATATTGTAATTTTAAAAATTATTAAAAATTACCCGGTGGCCCATGGAATGTGTGTGTTTCATTTGTATTATTGGCATAACGAATTTCTACTTGGTAAGTAGTCTTAGTATCATGTCGTCCAACAACATTATCAGGAAGCCATTTTGAATACCTAAAATATTATTTTTTAAATTCATGTTATATAATATTACAATCGTTAAAAGATTAAAACAAATAATTAGTTACCATTCATTAGTTCCGTAATGTTTTGATGTATAATCCTGTGTAAGACTTTCATTAGAAAATGCGCCCAAATCTCTGACAGTAAATGTATTTAAGGTTGACATTTTTTCCAAATGTATAGGATCATTGAAATCGTCAGCTCTAATTATTAATAAATCATTATATTATGTTTATATTTTATTTAGTATAGATGAATTAATTACCGAAATGTCCTGGGAGCAAAGTAGGGAAATGTCTTATTGAAAAAACCTCTGTAAGATGGTGAATAAGACATATTTGGTGCAAAATATATGGCACTGGCATTAATGTGTGAATTAGCTGACACATCAGCAACTGTCGACAAGAAATAATACATCATACCTGGATCGTATGTATCATTGATTGCTGGACGTATAAATCTGGCTTGTGATATATAACTAAAGAAAAATCCTCTGTTTAATGCCATGTTGCTTAAATGCAACAGAGCCGTACGGTTGGGGAATACAGGATTGATCACAACATCTTTGATATCCGGTATATGTGACACAGTGTCTTCAGGCAAATATATTTCGCTCAACGGTTGAAAACCACAATTATCAGCATTTATTTTGTCTAATTTATGCCGGATTTCATCCACCGCATCTTTAGGTTGCCACTCGTACTGGGCGTTCGTCCAAAAGACGAACATAAACAATAAATAAGTCGGATGAAACATTTTTTGTCAGAGCGCTTCTTCAGACTTTTACACACATTTATAAAAAGAAAAAAAAAACAATAATGTTGTACAAACAAATAAAATGTTAAACAAAAAGTAATAATTAAGGCACTGAACGATTAATTAAACATTAAAAACATAATGATCACGACTATCGACGATGTTAATAGTCAATGTTGTATCTTAGTATCCTGTATTCGTTTTTTACAGGTGTAGTGTAGGAATTTTTAAATGTAACTGGGTGGAGTTGTTTTGTATGAAATTGTTTTGTTTACATCGAATGATTGAATAAAAAGTTCTAGGTTATCAACAGTAGATTTAATCACTATCATCTACCACTTGTTGCTGACAGTGCAACCAATAGATTAAATCTATTCTGTGGTGCAACCAATTAATGAAAACTATTTTTTTTTTAATCTATGAAACAAATAATAATTATATAAATAGGCAATACAAATAATTAAATAAATATTTATAAAAGCCTGTAAGAATTTAGAATATTATATCATATTATGATAGTACTTGGAATACTTGGATCTTTATTAAAGATTAATTAATCTATAATAATTATTAATTACACATTTACACCACAGAATATATAATTAAATTTATTTTCTAATAGATGTTGTCTATTCTGTGATTATATTTCAGTACCTAATACAGTAATATCTCCCACTGATTAATTAGTTTTATAATTAGCTTTTAAATAGTTTTATATAATCTGCGATAATAGTGTATTATTGTCTATGAGATGAATATTTAAAATTATTTAAACAATTATTTATAATACCTACGTTAGACTGACACGATCGATCGTATTATTCGTATTATATATTATTATAGTGTCATCTGACTATCTGAGAACTCGGCACTTTAGTTAATAGTTTCCATTACCGTGCAGTATATTATGCAAATGATGAACGATGAATGCGAGATTCCTTAACAAGCAGAAAGCCTTCGATAAGTCAAATGCAGACTTTGAAATCCTCAGTCACCCTAAGGCCGTCTATGCGCAGGCGCCGCCGTCTATTTCATTATAGAATTTCTTATAGGATTTAATTTGAAATAATAGAAACAGCGGTATAAAGGTTGAAGCATGAAACAATAGTTGGTGAGACGAGAGGCTGTGCAAACGCTGGTGACGCACGTAACTGTAAGTTCGCAATGTTCGCATGCGATCATTGATAGAAAGAATAATAASTTATTATTAATTAGTTTGGTTACCGCTATGAGCATAGGTAGAAGGTAGAACCATTTACCATAAATGTTAAATGTTAATACTTATGTCTTATAATAACACTATTTATCATTAATGGTAGAAAAATATAGTTGTCGAGAGTGTTAGATTTGTTTTGTTGCCTTGTTGGTATTACCTATAGCTTTAGTGCCTGGCTCATAAACGCTACGAAGGATAATATTTTTTAGTTATATATAAGTTATAACTATGTGCTTTTTTGAATGGTAGATTACCAAAAAGTCCGTTACTTATAGTTAGGTAAAAGAAAAAATATATGTTATGATGCACATTGCATAATATCATTATTCATTAGTGTTCCAAATACTATAAATATAAATTCTAGGTAAATTATTTACCTGACGGCTGACAAAATAATTCATAGTAATTAGTATGCATATAGCATATAGATATTATTATTATAAATTTTGTAATCTGTCGTATTGTTTTTAGAAAGATAATTAATTAGAATTTTTTTAGTAGGTATGCGACATGACCTTMAAATAATTATAATAATTATCAGATTTAAAAAAAAAAAATAAATAATTATAAATATTGTATATTAGATACCAAACTTTTTAGAGTGATTCGATTGGATCACACTTCAATAACTTTTGTTAATTTTTAAAGTTTTAGTTTAAACCTTTTGTCTTTTAATAAAGTGAAGGTGTAACATGTTCAATCTAATAGACAATAATAGTATTATTACCTAATCTGCATAACTTCATTTTGATAACWAACACAATTTTTTATTGGTTGGACCAATAGCTTTATTTTAGTTCGAACTTCGAGACTGTATTTTGATGATTAGGCAATTTAAGGAATCTATTCAACAATATTATACTTCTCTAATTAAAAAATAGTACTATTATAGAACCGCAAAAAAAGATAAAAATTTAATTTACTATAATAATTAGATAATTAGTAAGGATAGTTTGATATTGAGCACACTTTAAAATATTAAATACCTACTGGTATACGAGTAGGCACAGTTACATGGATACTAATTTCATTAATAAATACAGCCCTAAATAAAGGACCTAGGTATTTTAGTGGCTAGAAGAAATAAATATTTCTGTAAATATTCTAAAATAATGGATGTCTTAGATCACGGAAATAATTTTTGTGTATCACCAAATGAAAAAAAAATATGTCTACAGCAGATGTTCCCAAACTTTTCATACTCGTGGTGCCCTTTTAGAACTGAAGTTTTCTCACGGCGGCGCCCTTAATAAAATATACGACCTTTTTTCATCGTAAAATATCGTTGTTTATTTTTAGACCAGATAACATAGTCGGAAGCGAGGCACAGCCACGGCGCACAGTTTGGGAACATCTGGTTTTCAGGATTAAGGAAGACTTGATAATAATTCAATACAATACAATTTACAGGGGATTTTATATTTTTACATTAATTAAAATATTACAATAACTCGATGAAAATCGATAAAAATAAAATTACTATAATCCTATAGTTAATTAATTGCGAACAATAGTAGTTTAAATAAGCAAAAATTGTTTATTATTCTTAATATACAAACTTAAACCAAAAACTTAACCAACGAACGATTTAAATCAATGACGTAATCGTTTGAGATCCATTATGACCACTCGGAAGTCGCCACAACGAATTGAGCCCACAAATGATTATGTCACCAATAATGTTGGTTCTAAATAATTTTATTTTAATCAATTATTCAATAATAATAAAAAATAATAAATATTTTAAGCAACAATTAAAATTCTAAAAGAGCATTATTTGCTTTGTGCATATAATTAATTTTATTTCCTCAGATCTATGTAGTTATTAAATTAGGTAGGTACTTCGATTTAAGTAAAACGTCACTATTTTTGAAAGCATATGCGTACAATTTTCGTATACGAACGCCGTTTAAATGTGTCCAGGATTGGTAAATAAATCATTTTTATATACTTTCAAAAATAGGGTCTTGAAGGAAGTACAATTAATAATTAATACTAAAATGACAGTCGGTAAGCAATATCCAGGAATCGTCCTAAAATAGAGCATCGGAGCTTCTATGCTATGTTTTGTTTCTATAATAATTGTTTTGTTTTTTAATATTAGTTACCTATAAAAATGATCAAATGCATGAATAACACAGATATAATATTCGATAACCAGTTTGACAATTTGTATGCTGCCGAGGGATAGGTTATTGAAAGGAATTAAGAATTTTTAGATTCATTCGTTCTCACTGCCATTAACAGATGCTTGTAGATTAGCCATATACTCAACGGCTCGTGTCCGAGAGGTTTGCTTCCGTTCTCTTCGTTTTACTTTCTTAAGCATGGTCGCCTAAAACAAATTGTTTTTATTGGTATATAAATATAAATATATACAAGCAGTTCAATTTTGATTTGTATTCATTCAACTTAATTAAGTATTATTACATTATATGTATACATATGTATAATACATTAAAGAATCAAAAAAAAATATATAATTTAATTTCATGTTAGGTATAGTAAAATAATGATAAAAATAAAAATAATTGACAATACACAAACATGAAGCAATAGAATATTAATAATCATTAATTTAATTTAAAAAGTCAATTTATCATGTTAAACTTTGAGTTCAAATATTATATTTTTATTATTTTATGATAAGCCAATATGATACAACATACTTTTAATGCAGATTTTAGAATTACTAATTCACCCGGTCCTTGGACCCAAGGTTCACCATCAATTTGTACGGGAACTTCATTAGTTAAATGAATTTTAACGTGTCCACCCTGAAAAATGTATTTGAGTTTAGATAAAACAAAATCAAATAATCATAAAACATACCTGAGAAATTCGTTTAGCGTATCTAAGCCCTGTTTGGATYTGTCCTAAATGAACTACTCCAGATACAGCGACAACCTCTAGTATACCATCCCAATGATTTGGAGTTGAAAATTGTTCTTCATTGCAATTTCGTCCCCATGGTTTAGCACCTGACCCCCAACTAAAAACAAATAACAAGTGTAAATAATTTTCATGTAAGTGATAAAACGAACTGAGTACCTCAAAATATTTAAAATAATAAGTCCTTCGAGTTGAGGAAGTACTACTAATTTTCCATCTACTTCCAGACGAACTCCTTGTTGAAGATTTTTACAAGGTGGATGGATTATTTTACGTAATCCAACGTTTAAATATTCAATCTTGTTGCCAATTCTATAATAAATGAAATATAAATTTTAGACTTGTATATTAGGCAATGGTATACAATATATACAATATTCTGGATAATCGAAATAAATATTATAATATAGTATTATATAGGCTATAGTCTATAGGTAGGAAGTTAAAAATCACATTAAAATTAACTAAACAGTCTAATATGTATCATTTATATTTATAATGAAGTAAACCTTACTGAAATTGAGTAAAAATAACTGAATTAAGCGTGGTTAAAATTTTAATTGTATTAAATTATAGATTATGGAATCCTAGTAAAATATGTTACCGACTAGTTACTGCATAATTATATTAGTTTTATCTTAGTCGTATTTAGTATAATTAAAATGTTGAAAATATTGAACCCCCAAACTTCTTCTCCCCTAAATAGCCACTGCTTAMAATAATATGTGGGACTTATTTGCGTTCGTTTTGGAGCAGAACATTTGTAATTTACTCTCCAATTCTAAGCATCATACCGGGTAGCATATTATTTGATATAGTTAGAATTTTGGGAAATCAATAATAAAGTATTCCGTGGCTTRGTGTGGCCAAGAGTTTATACTAAGTTTTGAACGTGTTCTGAGTKTACGCACAGGTCGGCGTTGCTAGCTCCCGGATGGGGGACCACCCGAGATTTTTAGCAACGAAATCCTTCCCATGCACACATACATTACGTGTTTCAAACCAAACATTCTATCCTACAAAAAGCTAATGGCTATAATTTCCAGGATTATGATCAATAAAAATAAATAAATAATTAACATATTAAACCAGTAGGTATTAATTATAATATGATTATGAACATTATTTTGTTATTGAAAATTGTATAATTATTAAACCTTAAATTATT